TACGGTTCTGTCTCCAACGTTCAGTGACGGGAGGCAATGGGCTATTAGGTTTTAATTTGACCTGAACCCAATGATTGTCGTTGACAAAACCAACAACAATGATTTTATGTCTGCTCGTATACATAGATGGAGATATGGTAAGAAAGAAAAATATAATGTTAAGTCTCTGTGACAATGATTCAAAGACGACATTGTACCTACTCGGTATACATAGATGGAGCTATGGTAAAAGAGAAAAATATTCGATGACCAGGAAGCAGACGTTGATTTCCCTGACCGTCTCCTATGCCCCGAAAGTGACCTTGAGCTCCACGTATCCCCACGGTCTTGTCGTCGTCCCGTTGAACCCTTGGAGGTCGGAGCCGGCATAGGGGGTCAGGTTGGTCCCGTAGAGCTATAGCGTCGAGAATAGGTGAGTATACATGATATCCACCGAACTCCCTCTATCGACCAGGATGCGGCGGACGTCAAAGTTTGCCATTTGTGCCCGGATTAGCAAGAGAATGTCGGAGTTGGGGGATCCTCCGGGCAGCTCTTCGAGATAGTATGTGATCGGGTTAGACCGACCGTGGAATTTGTCGAACGTGCTCATTTTTTCGGAGTTGTTGCTCATCAGCTCATCAAACTTCCTTTTTACCGACCCGATGGAAAGCTTGTTCGAGGTCCCGTCTGAGATGACCATCGCCGTGGGGAAGTATTTCCACGGGCTGATGGGACGTATTGGTTCCTCGGGTAGCTGATGCCCAGCAGGGAGGTTGTGTTCTCTTAGCGAGAACCAGTCTTCAGGCCGACTGATGCTGAGGGCCACCTGCAGTCCGGATTCGTTGGAGGGAGGAGGGATGTCCTCGACTCTTTTGGCTTCGTGGGCCTCCTGTCAAGGGGCATCTCCTCCTGGTTTATCTCTTCAAGTTCCCATCCTTGATGAGTATTTCGATTGCGTCTTTTAAGTGGATGCAGTCCTCCGTGATGTGCTCGTGGCCCCGGTGGAAGCGGAAGTATTTGGACTTGTCCACGTTGGCTTTGAGGGGTGCTGGTTTGGGAAAACGGACACCTCCCTAGACGAACTCTGTGTTGGCGCACTCATCTAGTATGCGCTTGCGGGAAGCGACTGGGGTTGTGTATTCGGTGAAGTGGCCTGCGGGGCCCTTCTGCTCTCGGGGCTCTTGAGGACAGTCGTCTCACCGTCGGTCTCCCCCACGCCGGGGGGTTGGAGCTTCTTCTTCTCGGGACCCGCAGAGGGTTTCGCGGTTGCGGAATTTCCGGGCAGAATTAGCAGCCTCGGTTTTCTCGTACCGGATGTAGTGGCGGGCTTTCTCGAGGAAGCCTTGCAGGGTGGTTGGTCGGTGGATCGCCACGGCCTCGTAGAATTTAGAGCCGCGGCGTAGGCCTTTCTCCATGAGGTAACGCTTCAGTCGTCTGAAGTCGTCACCTGGACTGCCTCCCTCGTGAATATCTCAATGTAGTTTTTGAGAGGCTCGTCCGGGGCATGGATGATCGCGCCCAAGGAGGCTTCCGTCTTCGAATGTCGTCGGGACGCCGTGAAATATTGCGAGAAGATCCTTCAGGATCCTCCACGACGTGATGGACTCAGGCTCCAGGCTTTTTTACCAAGCCATGGCTCCCTTCCTTAGCATCGTCGGGAAGAGTCTGCACTTGATGGCTCCTCGGACGTTCCTGTAGTCGAGCATGACCTCGATGTCTTCCAGGTGGTCGTCCGGATCCGAGGTACCGTCGTACATGGAGAGTACGTGCGGCTTCTCCGTTCCGTGGGGGATAGGGGTTGCCATGATTTCCCGTGATAGGGGGGTCCTATAGTCGTCCTCGTCACTGCGGACGGGAGAGTGCGAGGGCGAGGGATTGTGCCAAGGGGGTTGATTACGTCCCCTCGACCTCTTGCCTGGGGCTTCCGGTCTGTTCACTCTTGGGACCGGGAAACACCTCTCCTTTCGGAGAGGTGACCGGACGCGCTTCTTGGAGGCCACAAGTTGGGGCCTCTCCAGTTATGGTCAGCGCCCCCGAGGACGAGAGAAGGGCTCCGAGAGTCTTCGCGTTGATTTCTCCGCGGGGGAGAGCGAGACGAGGTATCCTGCTTTAGCATGCTGATGCGCTCATTCTGTTGGAACAACATCAGATTGATTTGGTTTATGGATGCGAAGAGGGCAGTCATCGTTGGGTCCGCTCCAACTAGGAACGGGCTGGAAAACAACCGGGCTCCTTGCTCGAGGTGTGACGAGATGTGTCGCATCCTCAGACAAAGAAGAGGCAGTCTGGTCGTCCTTGACGTCTCCCTCACGGGCGTGGGATGGCCCCGCCTGGTCGTCGTTGTTGGTGATTGGGGCGAAGGCGGAATTGTGGACAGCATCATCGTGACGTGGGCTAGATCTTGAAAGTTGAAGTTGGAAGTTTTGGTTCTTCTGCTCAGAGGAACGGGGAAGCTTTATTCTCCCACAGACGATGCCACTAATCGTACCTGATCAGAAGAGATTGCTGGCTGCCGCGCGTCGTCGATCTAAAAGTTGTTCACCGGAGGTAGGGAGGAGGAGGGAGTGTACCTGCAAGACACTCCGATGTCAAAGTAAGTAAAGGACCAGAGTGAGAGCAAATACAGAAGTTAGGTGTAGAGAATTGAATACCTGACCCTCTAGTGAAAAAGGGTATTTATAGTGAGACCTCAGCGCTGGGCCAACGGTCACTTGCGTTGGGTTGGATGGCCAGGCCCAATCCAAGTGACTGCTAGGGCTTACGTGGCGTAGTGAAGACCAGCACGTGGTCTTTGCCCTAGATCAACTGTCCCGTGATCTCCGGAAGGTGGGTTGACCTGCTCTTTCGGAGGTGAGTAGTTGCCTAATGACGTGTCCCCGCAGGGGGAGCACGTGGAGAACATGTGGAAGACGTGTTGACCTGCCCGACGGAGGAGGGTGCCTTCCTGGTGTGTCTGGAACCGTGCCCAACACTTTGGGCCTTATTGAGCCTTCCCAAATAGCATTGGGTTGGGCCTGCCCGACGGATGGGCAGGTCTGGACCCAGTCCAGAACAAATAACATCGAAAAAGAAGTTGGTATACCAATTTGTTGTGTTTTCTAAATGAGTGACTCTGTTAGTCCAAGCATCCACAAACCTTTCTTTATACAGTGTCAATCATGTTTCATTCACATACTTAACAAACAAAAGTATATCAGCACCAACATTCTCAAAGTGCTTCAAGTGTGCGAGATACCCACTTTCTCTATTAGCATACATGATGTTGTTCCATAGATCCATAACATGTTCATGTCTTTCTGATTTAACATACTCCTTACATTTCATGCTAACTTTTTTGATAATGTGGAACAAACATAACAGATGTGTTGAATTTGGAAACATAACTTGAATTGCATTCATCAATGCAAGTTCTCTGTCACAACTACATCGAGTAGACATTTCTCAGAATGAAAACAACTCTTTGAGCTTTTCTAGTGCCCATGTGAAATTCTCTTCACTTTCATCTTCCAAATAGGGACTGGCCGAAAACGTCAACAATCTCAAGCAGTGGTAACCGATACATGTATGTTCACAATTTAAATCATCAAATATTTGATAAATCAAAGAATGTCAAAATGATATCAAAGTATGAACAAGATACATGTTACCTATTGGTTTTGTATGTACAATAAAAAATCAACACCAAGTAAAACATATTCAACAACTTCACTGAATCAGGATGTGTCTAAAAGATATCAGCAACAACATTTGAGTCTTCCCTATTTCTTGTCCAGCACATGTACTTTTCTTTATAAATTAGAGTCAACAACATTTGCATTTCCATCAATGAACCTCTCTTGCTCCATTGTATGTATCTCTACCTTTATACACTTGGATAACACTGGTGAGATTTTATGGATCTTTGTCTTTCAAGGCAAAAACTATGTACCGTGGAGCCATGTTGTACTTCGTCATGTCATTCATAAACTGTCTCTCATGATCTTTTAGACGACCCAATACGTCATTGGCCATCTAAATCCTCAAATAGTTTATGATTGTGAAACTCACACCTAACATTCACCCTCCAACCAATACCATTTGACGAAGATCTCGGCATAAAAGGACATTTCACTTTCATACTATAAAGGTCATCCTAGTCTGAAGATTGACTACTTTCCTCCTCTCTCACAACCCATAATCAATTTATCCTTCCTACCTCGGTGGCCATTTGCAGTATCAGAACAAACAGTCACAACTATAATACCATATTGTTTGCCAATATGTTGTGTCCAGACTAATACTTCAGCTCGACTATAAAATATGTCATTTACATTACATAAAAAATATAATATCAATATCATATAACACAACAGAAATATTAAATTTGAACTTATTACATAAAAAAAACATATTGTCTGTGATGAAGAACTGCGTGCAATCGCTACACAAAAAACATACTTGATAAAGAATGTCAAATTTTATAGATAATGGAAATAATTGGTGTGAAATAGGTATAAAATTTGAGATTTTCTTAACTCAACCCCTACAATAGTATTTATATACAAATAAAAAATTACAAATCTTATTAATTACAACCTTTGCATTAAAAAAAGAAATTGAAAGCTACTACCCAAGTTTATATAAAAGACTAGAGTTTTTCTAAACAAAAGTCAAATTAACTATTCATATAAATAATAACTCTCAAGTTCTATTTTCACGCGCACACACACTTATTCATGCGGAACTTAACTGATTTTTCAGTTTAATACAACCGATTTTTTACACCTTAAACTTATAATCCTCAAATATGTATTTCAATATACAGTTTCTATGCATGAAATTATGCTTAACAAGATTTCATGCAATGCAACCAATTTCTTCAACTGAAGCGACGGCTTCGACAATGGCTACTTGAATACATTTCAAGTTCACAATATGAGTCAATAATTAAAATGCTACCAAGGATAAACCTAAACAGATTACAAACATCTTAAGTAAACTGCTTACATAGTAATGATAACATGAGCAATACTGCACTGTTATGTGCTCTTCCGAAGAGCTAAATTCAAAAGGTAGCTGAGAGCCGAATCAACCGACGATAATGCAACAAGAAGAAACGCCACAATAACAAGTGTCAGTGTCGCGGTCCTCAGCTGCCAAGGATTCATAAAGATATTTAAGTAACCATTCAACACATAATGATTTGTAACTAAAAATAACAATAAACTAATGAGACATACCGTGTTACTAAAGCTTGGCCACTCTATATACTTCAGTTGACTAGGTTGCTCGATTAAAAACACAAATAAAGACCTTAAACCCCTGGAAAAAAATTTGCTATTTGTAAATATGATTCTATTTTTCGGTAAATTAAGTAAAAGCATTAGTGATTTACTGATTAGGGAAAATGCTCCACCATAAACGGGTAATAAAAATTACACAGAACTCTAACGACAATCAATGACGCCTCTCAAATGTAGAAGTTCACAGTCCTTCTTGTTCTCACAGATGAGATGGTGACTTAATCGGTGCTGGTTTAACAAAAACAAAGAGAAACAAATATGTGTGCCTCAAAACTGAACTCATATCCTGTTTTTACGTTTTTCATGTCATCAATCGTCGTTAGAGTTACAAGGCCACATCATTCTGTTTTTTTTTATCATGTTCAATAAACCGGAACAAGGGATTAAGTAAACTACTGCACTTTGTGGATAAACTGAAGTTTCATAAATACCATAAGGATTCTTTTATCAATGTTAGCAAAACGGGCTCCTCGAGCGAATCATCATAGCTTATATACTGCTGGTCGTTTCTTGAAGCAGACGTCGCAGACGTCACGAACTTGGTGCTAATATTGTTTGAATATTTTCCTGTTCTGTTGGCTTTACAAATCTGTCAATACAAAGCATGTAACCTGAAATGATAAATAACCGCTACAAACACATTCACAGATCCATGGACTGAACGAGGGGAAAATACCGAGAGATGATAATTACCATTTGTGGTGTAACGGAACCATCTCTGTGATGATAACCAATTCTCGATGGAAACTTTGATTGATGAAAAGGGGCACCTTGGAGAAGGAAACCTATAATATATGGAGGAAAAGAAATTAAACAGGAAGCAAAATTAGCATTCATGTGTAGAACAAACTAATATAGTTAGAAAAATAACCTGAATAGTTTGTTGGCAGCAGAGAAAGAATAGTCATTTGAGATTCAAATGTTTGCTAGCTGATCATAACCAATTCAAACCTGCAAAGGTTTATACATACAACATCAATTTGTTTCAAAATACAAAACTTTTTTATCTTTAAATTTTTTCTTATGATGCTCAAGAACATTGACATGCTGGTTTTAAATTATGGTTGGGGCAACGCTGCAAAACTATTTCAGTGAAGTGCAAACAAATACAGTCGTTGCAGAGACCTCTTAAACTGTTATATTGTGGCTGCAAAACTATTTCAGTGAAGTGCAAACAAATACAGTCGTTGCAGAGACCTCTTAAACTGTTATATCGTGGCTGCAACTACGGTTGCAACTGCAGTTTAGAACTACATTTTGGCAGAGAAGCCATAGGATACAAACTATAAGCATATCAGAAAAGAAGGAAATAGAACAAACTTGAATCAATTAGGAGTTATGAGATTGGTTCTCATCATTCAAAGTGTCTTCCACCTTAAACTTATATCTTTTGAAGATATGAAAAATGTTTTACAATATCTTCCAATGACACTTTTCAATTTACCATTAATTAACTCTCTTACAATATATCAAGAAAAGACTCACATTGCATGAATATCAACAGACTAAGACTTGGTTTAGATCAGAACCGTCTTTGAGGGTATGTAAGGTGAGCTACACTGGGTTCAAAAATTTTCACATTTAAACCATGGATCTAATAATAGATTTGCCACTATTAAACAATGGATAAATTGGGTTCATATTTAGTCTGCCACAATTGTACCGTGAGTAACCTACACATGTCTTTAAAACTTAAGAAGATCAAACAACTTAATTAAATATTTATATAAGCGTTTATCATATAAGTGTTTATATAATAAGTGTTTCTGTATAAGCCAGTTCTATCACAAATGATAAATAAAATCTAACAGATTTAATAAAAGCTATAAATTATGGTTAAGAGCCCCACAAAGGCCTACCACACCCTGCGTGCGGGGTGAGCCCATACCCATATCGGATAACTGTGGTTTGAGCATAAGTTTATAAGTAAGGGTGATCATCACCTTCCAGATCCATTTTGTAAGTTTGAGTTAGCCCTAACTCAAATTTGAATATGGTATCGGAGTACAAATTCAAAATTTGTTGGGTCACTTGCTATCAAATTTCCGCTATCAAGTCACTCACCATTTATAAATTGGTTTTGTAAGATTGAGTTATACTCAGCTCAAATTTTAATAGTTATTCTAGACCGTTCATAGATAACAACAACAACAACAACCATAACAACAACCATGTCTTATCCCACTATGTGGGATCGGCTACATGGATCAACTTCCGCCATAATGTTATATCTAGAATTAGATTTCTACTCAAATTGTTAATCTCGAGATCTTTCTTAATAACTTTTCTTATAGTTTTTCTAGGTCTTACTCTACCTCTACCTTTTTTACTTCTCTCAATTTGATATAATCTTCTTAGCATAGAATCAACGGGTCTTCTCTCTACATGCCCAAATCACCTAAGTTTATTTTCCACCACCTTTTCTATATAATATTACTCCAACACCCTTTTTAATATTTTCATTTATAATCTAATCTTGTCTAATTTTACCATGTTGAAAGATTAAACTTGATTTGGACCTAACCTTATTATTAGTGTTTTGGATTTTTGGGCTTAGTTATTTCGGGCTTAGGTAATTTTGGATAATGTTTCTAGAAAACTCTTGTAGTGTTTGGAGTGTCTAGATATTTGGTCTGTTTGGTTGGAGGTAGATGGAGGCGAGGGGAGCAAAATCCCTCCTAGACTCATATTTTGCTTCCCCTCAAATTGGGGGGATTTGGAGGGGAGGGAAGATTTATTATTTATAATTTTATTATATTCCCTAATTTAACCTTAATTATTTTTTTATTTCCATGATTGTCCTTATTGAGCAATATTAGTGATGGATGATTTAAACATCAAATTTACTAAATTATTTTTTAAAAAATAGTAATATATATTAATAATAAAGAGTAAAAAGTCCAAAGTATATTGAGTATCAATTCTATATAATATTATTATTTTTATTTATAACTAAAGAATCAAGAATTAAATTTATTTATTTCTTATATTTAGTTGGAACTTATTTAATTTTTATATTTAGTTAGAAAAGTTGAATAAGAATGTCAATTTTTAGCTAATGAGATTTTTTTAATCAATTAGATCTTAAAACTTTTAGATATATGAAATTTTATGTCTTTTGAGTTTTAGTTCTTATGACTTTTATGAATATTTTATTTACAATTTAATATGTTTTGAATATTTTGCTTACATTTTAATATGTTTTTTGAATATTTTGTTTTAATTTGTGTTGTTTATGAATGACCAAGTTTTTATTTGGTGAAATTTACTCAAAACTATTTTTATCTAGTATTGTTTAGTGTTACTAAACACAAGTGATGATATTCGTAAGGATAAAAATGTAATTTGGTTTTAAAATCTCTCCCCTCCCCTTGTGAACCAAACATATATGTAGTTAAAAATTCCTCCCCTCCCCTCCCCTCCCTTTCTTTGAACCAAACATACATTAGTTAAAATACCTTCCCTCCCCTCCCCTTTATTAAAATCCCTCCCCTCCGTTGAACCAAACGGACCCTTAGGGTTGTAATATTTTCTAAAATATTCTTGGAATTTCTAGAGTTGAGAACTCTCTAGAATTAGTGTGTCTAGAGTTCTCCTTAGAGTACTATAAATAGAGATTTAATCCTACATTTTTGAATCAAGCAAAATACAAAGTTCTCTCTTGCATAAATAATTCTCCTATCTATCAAGTTTCTATTCAAGTCTCTAATATTCTCACACATCTTTCTAAACACAAAAGACTTTATTTCCAACATACCACACATTCAACGCAACATCCTCATCTTAACCGTCCAATGTTCTGTCTCTTACAACATTGCAGATCTTTCATATCATAAAATTTTGAAAAAGTTAACGCATACAATTAGGGTTTCTCTTACAAAGGTAGTTTATAAACAGACACTCTCCTCAATGCACCTCAATGCACCGAAGCGGGCAAAACAGTTAGGCTTAAGGCAAGACCCAAAACAAACCATACAAGAAACTTCTAGAAAGTTTATTACTTACCAGCCACAATGAAAATGCAAATTGAGCAACAAAATACCAACAATTCCATGAACCATAGAAGCATGCATCAAACAAACTTATGAATAGATATAACCCTATGTTTCCAATCGCGATGCGGAGTAGAATTGCATCCCATCGAGCCCTTACAAAAATCTGAATTTTGTTTTTCGAAAAAAATGAAATACCTAGACGAGTTTTCTCGCTGTTAATGCCGAGCGGCGACCGACTCCGGCTACTTTTCCGACCAGATTTTTCTTTTCGCGGCTGTAAGTTGGGTTCAGTGCGACTCCGGCAAGGTTGTGCTTTGTTATCTGCTAGTAAAAGTGGTCTTCTCTATCAAATGATACATTGCAAACCCAATCCCAAAGGCGCTATTTTATTATTATACTATTTGTTTATGTTTATGGAATTTATTTATATTTAGTTTTTCCAAATTTAAAATTTATAAATATAAATTTGTCAAATAATTATAATTTGGAAAGTGATTATTATAATTTTAATTTGGAGATATTAATATTGATGTATGAATTTAATTTGCATATAGAAAAGAGCTATGAACACATTTTTTCTAACCGACATTTCAACACATCATTTTCTCTAGATTAAAATTGGAATAAATATTATTTATAAAACAAATTATAATAAGTATTCAATTTAGTTTTTATGTTACATACACCCCAGACTTATGAAGAGGTTTTCAAAGATGCCGGCCCAAGTAATTTTGATAAATGTCTAAGTTACGTGGATCTTAATATTAGGCCCAAACATGTGACAATTCAGCCTCGGGATTCAACATGGCATCTCCTAAATTCAACTGGGCACCTTCGCATTTTAGATGATATATTAAATTTTAGAAAGATCGTATCGAATTTTTAAGTTTTAGTACTTTTTTTCGAAATTGTTGGTAAAAACTTATTTATAGATTATATTGATTTTTTTCAAAAAAAATCGGTGGAATTTCATATGATTTATATTGGCATTCTTAAAAATTCGTTTGCGCATATTCAATCGAATATTTGGAAAATTCAATGCAACATATTTTTTAAAAACTCTATTGTATTATTTTTTTTTCATCTTTTAATTGCTTGTTTTTTAGTGAGGACAAGAGGAAATGATGGTAACATCATAAAGAGGTTGAGCGACAGACTTGATAGGGATGTTGCTGAGAGTTTTGGCGGAGATGGAGGAAAAGATGGGGACAATCATTTGTGTAGTAAGTTCGGTAGAATAGCTCTTGTTAGTTCTTACTGCGAAGAGACTCAGGGTATATGAGATATAATTGATCACTGTAGAGGCGACTTTGAGGAGATATAAGTTATTGTTATTAAGTTAGTTGCTCCAAAGGCTAATACATATGTGCCCAATCATACTGATACAGGGGTGTTTGATCAGGCTGATACAAGTGATGATTGTGATGGTCCCACATATGAGGGGTTCCCTAGAGGGCCCTCTGACCCTACATCATCGACTGAGTATGTTGATCACATTACATTCAAAATTATAGCAAGGAGGGGTAAAAATATTTTACGTATTAGTGGTTGATTGATAGTAACACATGATTTATGTGTTAATTATTACAGGATTGTGACTCATGGTCAAAAGCTAAAAAGTTTCTCGGCAACGCAGATGCCGAAGAAGGTTAACTTGTAGATGATGTTGGTCGATTTTCGTTTGTGGATTGTTCTTTCACTGTGCTTGACATTGTATTGTTATCTACTTTGTTTAGTGATGACAGAATGAGACATCTTCATTTCATCTTCCGTTTGGTGAAATAACCATCATTATTAGAGACAATGTTTCCATCCTATTTCTTTTTCCACTAGAAGGTAACTTTTTCACCCCCTGCCGATGAACTTAGAGATTGTTATTATAACTATTGAGACCTACTTAGGGGTTACACGAG